ATCTGATCTCTTCTGGCCTCCATGGGTACCTGCACTCACATGCACAGACACACAAACATAATTTAAAAATAAAATAAACATTGGAAAAGGGTAACAACTTGAGTTTAGGGAGTAAGGAAAGAAGAAGTGGGGCAGAGAAAATTTATATAGGCATATGGTACTCATAAAGATCATAGAGAAACCTAGCATCTAATTTGTAAGAATGCTCACAGTAAGGGCTGGAAACTATCACGAGAATAAGTGGATACTCAACCCTGAGCCTGGATTCACACAAGCAGCTCTGGAGAGTCGGGGCTTCCTATTTCTGCTCAGTGGTTTCTTCACAGTACCTTTCCCTGTGAGTTAAGTGACTATGTACTCTAGTTCAGGATGAGGGCTCCTTTGTCCTTGGCATTACAGCCTAAGTTTTTTGAGTTTTTTGTCATTGTCATTGTTGCTGGGTTTTTTGGTTTTGATTTTGGTTTTTCCAGACAGGGTTTTATTGTGTAGCCCTGGCTGGCTGTCCTGGAACTCACTCTGTAGATCCACTTGCCTCTGCCTCCTGAGTGCTGCGATCAAAGGCATGCACCACCACCGCCCGGCAACAGTCTATATTTTTGAGCTGGCTGGCTATGCTGCATCCTATGCTCTCAGGTCCTTGAGAGAGGGTCTACTGGTATCTGCACTTGCAGAGACAGTTGGGACAGGGTCCTTATCTTTGTCTCTGTGGCCTGTAGCCTGTAGCATGCTTTGCCTTGGGACCTGACAGGTGGTCAACTAGCCTCCTTTAAAAGTAGCTTTTAGGGTCTGGGGAGATAGCTCAGGGGTTAAGAGCATTGTTAAGGATATGGATTCAATTCCCAACACCGACATAGCAGCTCACAACCATCTATAATCCCAGTTTCAGGGATCCAATGCCCTCTTCTAGCCTCCATGGGCACAAGATACACATGGTGCATAAAAATATATGCATAGAAAAATATGCAGGAAGGTGGGCGGTGGCAGCAAATGCCTTTAATCCAGCACTTGGGAAGCAAAGGTAGGCAGATCTCTGTGAGTTCGAGGCCAGCCTGGTCTACAGAATGAGTTCCAGGACAGCCAGGGCTACACCGAGAAACCCTCTCAAGAATAACAAAAAACGGGGGCTGGAGAGATGGCTCAGAGGTTGGGAGCACTGGCTGCCCTTCCAGAGGTCCTGAGTTCGGTTCCCAGCAACCACATGGTGGCTCACAACCATCTGTAGTGAGATCTGGTGCCCTCTTCTGGCCTGCAGGCAAAACATGCTGCATACATAATAAATAAATAAATCTTTTTTAAAAAAAAAAAAGAATAACAAAAAACAAAAAAATTGACTGTCGTTTTAGTTCAAAAATAGATGGCTTCTTCTAGTTATAGATGTGTACTAAATTGGAAAGATAAACCAGCCTTGACTACCGTCCACTGCATGAAGCCTAAAAGAATGTAGTATGGCTCCACCAACTGTGGAGACCAACCAGGAAAAGGGCTCACTTTTCTCTGACTGTTCTTCAGAGTCATGCTTTGGGAACTTCCTGACACAATGTCAGATGCTTTCTACAGACAAATGACTAGGATACTATCTTGTGTATAAGACGATAAAATGATGCACTAGTCATAGAGTGAGACCTTAAAAACCTTACTTCCTCATGTTTTAATGTAGTCAATTTGTATCATTTCAGCTTCTTGCATTACTATAAATACTCTTCATATAAACTTCCAAAGTTTTTGTTGTTGTTTCTTCCTTTATAATTCTATATGTATAGGTGTTTTGCTTACATGTATGTCTGTGCACAACATGAGTGTTTGGTGCCCATGGAGGACAGAAGAGGATGTTTCATTCTCCTGGGACTGGAATACAGACAGTTGTGAGCAGCCATGCAGGTGCTGGGAATTGAACCTGGGTCCTCTGGAAGAGCAGCCAGTGCTCTTAACTACTGAGCCATCTCTCCAGTCCATTTCTTTGTTTTATGGTGCTGGGGATTAAAGCCAGGGCCTTAGGGATGTTAGGCAAGTGCCAATCTCCAGTCATCAATACCCCCATTTAAAGGACAATAAAAATGTGAGGACTTTTGTTGTTGTTTATGAGACAGGGTCTTTCTGTAATCCAATCTGTGCTGGAACTCATTATGGAGTCCAGGCTGACCTTAAATTCTTCACCATCCTGCCTCAGCCTCCCAAGTTTTGGGATTATAGACATGTGCCACAATAACCAAGGACAAATAAGACATGAGCAATGGGCCAGGAGTGGAGGCCAAAGCATAAAAAGGTGCTATGCAGGGCACAGGTGCCACTCCTAACTGGCTAGACTATGGCGTTCCCAGCCTTTCCTCAAAACAAGTGACTGCTCACAGGATAATAACTGAGGGACATGTATCTTAAGACATTGAAGTTTCATAAAATATTGGCATCACCACAAGTGCTGGGAATAAAATCATCCCTGGGCCAATAATTCCAAACTTGTTTAGCATATGAATTGCCTACGCTGCTTATTCAGCACTCGGGAGGCAGAGACAGGTGGATCTCTGAGTTAGAAGCCAGCCTGGTCTCAAAAGCAAGTTTCATACCAGCTAGGGCTACACAGAGAAACCCTGTCTCCAAAAAAACAAAACAAAACAAAATTTATACACACACACACAAACACACAAGTTCTTAGGTAGTACCTTTGAGAAGGGGACTAGGAATCTATACTTTTATGTGTCACTATTTTATTGTGTATGTATCTGGTGCCCAGAGTGGCCAGAAGAGAACAGAGATTCCCTGGAATGGGAGTTACAGAAGGTTGTGAGCTGTCATCTGGGGGATGGGAACCTTCCTCTAGAAGAGCAATCAGTGCTCTTAACCGCTGAGACATATCTCTAGCCAAACAATGAATACATGTACACACACACACACACACACACACACACACACACACACACACACACACATTTTTGATAGGGTTTCTCTGTGTAGCCCTGGCTGTCCTGGAACTCTCTGTAGATCAGGCTGGCCTCAAACTCACAGAGATTTGCCTACCTTAGCCTTCCAGTGCTGGGATTAAAGGTGTGCACCACCACTGCCTAGCTGGAATCTGTATTTTTAAGAGCAAGTATTCCAGTTGATTTTTATAATCAATAAACTCTGAAACTCTGTCGATTTTAGATGAAGCTCCTCACTAAAAGCCAGCTACAGGGGCTGGAGAGCTGGCTCAGTGGTTAAGTACACTGACTGCTCTTCTAGAGGACCTGGGTTCAATTCCTAGCACCCACATGGCAGCTTATAGCTATCTGTTACTCCAGTTCCAGGGTTTCTGACATCATCACACAGACAAACATGCAGGCAAAACATCAATGCACATTTCAAAAAAAAAGCCAGCCATAATGATAGTCTGAGTCGGGGATGGTCTCATCAGTAAATGTGAAGCCACTAGGTGAGTGCTCAGGAAATGCTTCCTGCTGACTCGGGTCCTCTCACACCCACCACCAGAGCCCTGAGGAAGCTGTGGCTGTACTGCACCTTGTTTTCCTCTTCGTACTCGTCACTGCTGTTGTCAGCCATAGTCTTGTTAGGGAGGCCAGCAGAAAGAGGGGGGCCTTAGAGGAAGAGTTTCCCAGTTAGTGCAAAATCATCGTGAAAATAAACAAAACCAAAAATTTCACTTCATAACCTTTTTAATTTGTCATTTTATTTATTTTTGGTTCTTCTTTTTTTTCTTATTTCTTTTCTTTTTTTTTTTTTTTTTTTCCCAAGACAGGTTTCTCTGTGTATCCCTGGCTGTCCTGGAACTCACTTTATAGACCAGGCTGGCCTCAAACTCAGAAATCCACCTGCCTCTGCCTCCTGAGTGCTGGGATTAAAAGACATAAGCCACCACGCCCAGCCTAAAGTTACAATATTTTATGTAACAACATTTATAGGAACATGAAGGGAGCCAATGAGATAGCTCAGATTGGGGGAAACCTCATGGCCTTTTAAACCTCAAGACCTGCATTCCATCCCCAGCACTCACAGTGAAAGAAGAGAAAGGACTTCTGAAAGTTGTCCTCTGGCCTACACACACACACACACACACACACACACACACACACACACACAAATAAAAAACAAGCCGGGTGTGATGGTATGTTTTAGCCCCAGGTCCAGGGAGGCAGAGGCAGGTGGATCTATGAGCTCAAGGCCAGCTTGATCTACATAGTGAGTTTCAGGCCAGCCATGGCTACATGGTGAGACCTTGTCTCAAAAATAAAATAAAATAAAACAAAACTTGGGAGGAAAGACAGGATACTGAATTCTAGTCATAGCTCTGTCAATTCAAGACATTACTATAAATATTCCTTTGCCTACGCACTGGGCTAGATGTTATACTAATTGATTACCTGCAATTATACGACTAGAAACTGAACTGTACTGGGGCAAACTGAGGTATGTGATTAATAAAGTGAAAGAGTATTTGGTTAATAGGAGGATCGGTCTGAGGGCAACTCTATCACTTGCACAAAATGACTTACCCTCTCCGAGTGTCAGTATTGCCTAAATGGGGTCAGTGACAGGATCGGGTGAAAAGCCTATCTGGAAGAGAGTGGCCTAGAGCCTGGCAAATAGCAGCTAGTTGTGAATTTGAATTTGAATCAGGGCATACGAGCAGTAAGAGAATCTGTAAAAATAACAGCATATTCTGAAATTGAAAGTATAACCAGATGTCAGACTAACCAGCATGAAAACATGTTAGATGAACCCTAAGTCAAACACATGCAAATCAACATTTTTGACTTATTAAATTACCCAGCTGCAAACAAGTCCACAGCTAGCAAGAGCATAAATTTGCTCAAGTCACTGGACATGGTAGCTTACAACACTCGGAAGACTAAGGCAAGAAGGGTACCTCAAATTCAGGGCCAGCCTGAGCTGCATAGTGAGTACCAGTTTAGCCTAGGCACCACTGAGTAAAACCCTATTTTGAAATAAACACATAAAAACCAAACATGATGGAGTAAAAACCCTAGTGGCTCAGTAATACTCAACATGTTCACTTCCACAGTACATATACTAAAATTTGGAATGATGCAGAGATTCCCACAGCCCCTGTGCAAGGATCACATGGAAATCCATGAAGCATTCCATAATTTTGGAAAATAAAGTATATACTGAAAAGTACTGAAAACAAGAATTCAGACAAATAATTGTACAGCACCACATACATCAACATTGTTCACAACAGCCGCAAGTGAGCAACACAACTGTCTGTCAGGAGATGAAGGTATTTAAAAATGTTGTATGTCGGGGCTGGAGGGATGGCTCAGAGGTTGAGAGCACTGGCTGCTCTTCCAGAGGTCCTGAGTTCAATTCCCAGCAACCACATGGTGGCTCACAACCATCTGTAATCTGGTGCCCTCTCTGGCATGCAGGCAGAACACTGTATACATAATAAATAAATCTTTAAAAAAATGTTGTATATCCACACAATAGACTCTATTAATAGAATACTATTCAGCCATAAAATTGAACATAATTATGATACATGCTATAGCATAAACAAACCTTGAAACATGTATACATGACAAGAGCCAGCCAAAAAAGGACATGATTTACCTACAAAGTACCCCTAATAGGCAAACTCACAGTGGCAAAATAGTGGTTAGCAGGAAGAAAGGAGTCAAGAGATCTGTTTGTTTGTTTGTTTGTTTCTCAGGCAGGGTCTCACTATATAGCGCTGGCTAGCCTGGAATTCACTATGGGAGGCCAGATCAGGCTGGCCTCAAACTCATACAGATCCACCCGTCTGCCTCCCCAGTGCTGGACTAAAGGCATATACCCCCATGCCTGGCAGCAGTCACTGTTTAACCATGAGGGAGTTCTAGAAACGTAGCTGTGGGATTTTGAATGAGAACAGCTCCCAGAGGCTCATCTGTTTCAATGCTTGGTTAGCAGCTGGTAGAGCTGTTTGGGAAGGATTAGGAAGTGTGGTCTTCTTGGAGGTGTGTCACTGGAGATGAGCTTTGAGAGTTCAAAAATCCATGCCTTTCCCAGTTAGCTGCCTCACGGCTCTGTCTAAAGATGTAAGCTCTCAGCTGTTCCTACGGCCATGATTTCACTCAGTCATCATGAACTCTAATCCCCTGAAACTGTAAGCCTCAAATAAACTCTTTCTTCTTTAAGTTGCCTTGGCCATGGTGTCTTATCACAGCAACAGAAAAGTAACTAAGGCAGTGGTGACAGTTACCAGACAATGTAAATGTACGTAAAGCCATTTAACTTCAAATGCCGTTTAAAGTGGCTAAAATAGTATTCTATACCACGTATATGTTACTACAATAAACACTGAGTTGGCGATCACACTCAGTTGGTTTTTTTTGTTTTTTAGTTTATTTATTTTTATTTTATGTGCACTGGTGTTTTGCCTACATATGGATGTCTGTGTGAGGGTGTCAGATCCTCTGGAACTGGACTTATAGACAGTTGTGAGCTGCCATGTGGGTGCTGGGAATTGAACCTGAGTCCTCTGGAAGAGCAGCCAGCCCTCTGAACCTCTGAGCCATCTCTCCAGTCCCTTAGTTTTTGTTTATTATGGCAAAATATACATGGGTGTGATCCCCAACCCAGGACCGGAATCTGAGCAAGCCTTGATGATTCTGTAACCACAGTCTACCCTGTATTTGTGTCATGTCTCTTTAAGCCACAGTCCAAACCATTACCATCTCCACCCAGCCTCTACCACAGCACTTCTACCTGCAGCCTCATTTTCATCTGTGAACCCTCCAAGAAATTCTACACGTGACAGCAGCACCGCCTCTGAAATTCTGCATCCCGCTTCTTACGCCTCTTCCCTCCTTCCTGATCAGACCCCTCTCATCATACACTGGTCTTTTCTCTTGAGTCTTCCCTGGCCACAAATGGGTCTCACCCATCACCATTATGTTTCATAGCAGTAAACAATCTGCCTACATCAATGCATACATGACATGTGTAATAATGACTGTTTATACACTGGCCATCTGTCTTCTACAATTACAAGCATCACGATGGCAGACAATGTGTCTTTTGTTTACCACTGTATTACCCAGTGCTAGCATGGCACATAGCAAGCATTCAAAAATGTTAGGGGGCTGGGTGTGATGGCACATGCCTTTATTCTCAGCAATGGGGAGGCAGAGGCAGGCCTGGTCTAGAGTGAGTTGCAGGGCAGCAGGGGAAACCCTGTCTTGAGAAAACAAAACAAAACAAACAAACAAAAAAAAACATCTAAAATAACCACATACAAAAAATGTTAAGTGAATAAATGAATAATGTCAAGTCCTCTGCTAAAACTCTGCTGCAATCACAGTTGGGGTGGCAGGTTAAAGGCAGGCTATGACACATCTTAATGAGTTAAAGAGAAAAACACAGCAGTGAACCCTGCTGGAGAGATGGCTCAATGATTAAGAGCACTGGCTAATCTTCCAGAGGACCCAGGGTTCAATTCCCAGCACCCACATGGCAGCTCACAACCATTTGTAGCTCCAGTTCAAGGGAATCCAACGCCCTCTTCTGGCCTCTGGGGGCACCAGGCACGCAGGTGGTACACAGACACACATGGAGACAAAGAGAAAAACAAGACAACACTCACACACATAAAATGTTTAAAAATAGTAATTAAAAAACAACTAAGCACAGCGAACCGGTGGCAGAATCTCTACAGTGCAAGTAACATGAAGCACACAGTGATAGCGGATGGGTTTGCAGTCCAAGACTGCAATCCGATGAACTGATTTCTCCGGATGAACCGATTTCTCCCTCCACTAGCGAGAAAACTGCAGCAAGTGCTCGGCTCACCAAGTTAACAACCTAGGAGCTTACTGAATACAAACATGAACCCAATCTGTGCTAGCGTTTTGAAAACCACCTCCCTTCTTATCTCTCTTTTCTTCTTCTCTTACCTTGATGTCCTGGGGCTGGAGGGCTAACACTGGCAACCTCTTCGGAGTCGTTAATCTCTAGACGCTCATCGTAAGTCTGGTTCTCAACGATTTTGGTCTAAGCAAAAGGAGGTCGGTTACATAGCTCCTACCACGGCATACACATTGAAGACTCCGCGCAGAGATGCACTCACTCCTACCCAAGCTTTCCCCTGATCTCAGAGCAAGCGGCTAGCCAGCTTCAACGCTTATTTAGCTACTAGCACTGGCTGAGAGCCGAGAGAACCGCGGAGGAAAAAGACATCCAACCTTTTCCAGCAGTAAACCAAAAGCTAATATAAGATGCGCTCAAGGGAAGCACAGCATGCATAGGTAGACTGCGATCGTCTCGGGTTTGGTCAGTTTTCCCACAGATGTTGAGGCTTCTGGCGGGGGGTGGGGGCGAGAGTATAGGGACCGTACCGGACTACAGAGGTTTTAGAGTCTAGACAGAGTTCAGCCTGTGGGTCACCTCTGGGCCGAGAAGGGAAAGATGGTCCTGAGAGAAGGCCGACTCCAGTCTCAGCCCCATCCACTAATCCCCAAAGCATCACCTCTACCCTTCCACCCGTTTTGAAGACAGGATCCCATTGGTTTCTTGGAGAGCCAAGGATCCAGAGTAGCTGGTTGGGCGCGGAGAGCGAAGAACGCGGTGGGTAGTCTCCTGGCGTGAGCACCAATTAATTACCTGTAGCCCCTCTGGATCCGTTTCCTCTATTTGGAAAGAACCCCAGCCGAGGACTGGGGTCTCACTCTCAGGCCCGGCCACTTCAGGGATCCCTAAGAGCAGTAAGCCGGCTGTTGTCAGTCGCTAGGCAAAAGGATAAATAAATTTAAAAAAAAAAAAAAAAAAATAGAGCGAGAGCGAGGAGGAATAATCGCGAGACCTACAGCACGGCCCGCCCACCCCCGCCCCACCCCCTCCCGGTGATGGCGGAAGTGGGGTCGCGGTGCTGGGATAGAGCGGCCCGGCGCTCTAGGTGGCCAGGCAGACGACTTGTCCATGGTTTCCGCAACTGAGTCGGTTGTGACATCTAGTGGTCAAAGGTGGTAGGGCAGGCTGTTGAATTTCTTCCCTCCGACTGGAAACTGTCACCTCAAAGACAAGGCTCACTTGTCATGCAGTTTGTGCTAGATAAGCCTAATCAGAATTTAGACACTCTTCAGGGGGAAAGTCCAAGAATGTCTAAAAGCCCTTTTATAGCATCCCTATGATACTATGATACGATAGCTCTTTTCCTCACGGTGCCCTGTGTCACGTACTTTATTCTTCCTTTAACTGAGATTAGGATTTAACTGTTTCCTGTGTTTTTAACTTGCTAAAGAGAATTGTGAGCCTGGCGAAGTGGTGCATGGCTGCAGTCCCAGCACTTGGGAGGTAGAGGCAGGAGGATCAGAAGTTCAAGGTCGGGCTGGAGAGATGGCTCAGAGGTTAAGAGCACCGACTGCTCTTCCAGAGGTCCTGAGTTCAATTCCCAGCACCCACATGGTGGTTCACAACCATCTGTAATGAGACCTGGCAGCCTCCTCTGTGTGCATAATAAATAAATAAATTTAAAAAAAAAAAAGAAGTTCAAGGTCAGCTTCAAACTTGGTGAGTTTGAGGCCAGCCTGGGCTACTGAGGGCCTGTCCCAAAACAATAAAACAGTGTGATTAAAAAATAAAAGTGAAAACACTTTATTTTGCTGAGCGGTGGTGGAATCCCAGCTCTAGGAAGGCAGAGGCACTTGGATCTCCGAGGCCAGCCTGATCTACAAAAATGAGTTCCAGGACAACAAGGACTACACACAGAGAAAACCTGCCTGGAAAATCTCAAAAGGGGGCGGGGGCTGGGCGAGGGAACAGTGTTCAGACCTGCACTTACCTGCAATCCAAACTCAGGAGACTGAGACAAGACCTCCAGGTTAGGGTTAGCCTGGGCCACACAGGGAAACCTTGCCTAAATAAATAAAAAGAAAACTGGGGGGGGGGGGGGATTGGGGAGATGAGAAAATACACACTTCTTTAAAAAAAAAAGATTGATACTCAAAACTTGCACAGATTTATGGCACATGTGTGTTGTTTCCATACATGTGTACATTGCAGAATATTCAAATCATATAATTTCTAGCTCCTCAATCTTTTTTTTTTTTTTTCCTTATTTGAGACAAGGGCTCAAGATGAAACTCGGGCTGGGCTGGAACTCACTATATAGA